TTAATTTTTTTTCAACATTTTTTATTTATTTTTGGGACAGAGAGAGACAGAGCATGAACGGGGGAGGGGCAGAGAGAGAGGGAGACACAGAATCGGAAACAGGCTCCAGGCTCTGAGCCATCAGCCCAGAGCCTGACGCGGGTCTTTCAGTGCCAGCTTTTAATGTGCCATTTAGATTATCTTTGTCCCAGGGGTCTTTCTACCCCTCATAAAGTAAGAGACAAGAGACTGGGTAATGATTGGGAATTAGAAAATTAACTGTGAGTTTTCTTATTCTTATTTTGAGGAGGGAGTAGGCTGGGTGGTGTTTTGGTTGGTTTTATTTTTAAGAGTAGAGTCTAACTGAGTAATATACAGCCCATATTCTAGGAAATGTTACTATTCTGTTGTAGGAGGTGTACAATAGAATTTTAAGCTATGTAAATTCCAATTGCATTTGGAAAAAGGAAATAGAAAAAGAGTAAAGCATAAGTTGAATAAATACTCCAAAATGCAAACATTCCAGGCTTTGTGGAAATGCCATAGAGGGAGTATGTAATAACAGTGCCTAATATGTATAAGGGCTTTTTATGATTTACAAAGAGTTTTCACATATGTTGTCTCAACCTCAATTTTGTGAGTAGGCACACGATGGTGCTAGTTCCAGGATCGTGGATGCATAGCTGAGGCTTATGCAGGGCAAAGGCGTCACCTCGTTGTACAATCTGTAAGTGGGAGAGCAGGGCTGGAACTCAGGTGTTAGGATTCCTGATCCAGGAAACTTTCTGCCACATGATTTTGCAATACACAAGTCTAACATGGGGCCGTGACCAAGACAGTCAAGTCACCCCTTGACAACAGGCTCTCGTAATGGCACTGCCACCAAATAGCCATGTGTATTGGGCAAAGCACTTCATTTCTTTGGTGCCAGTTTCCTCAGAGAAAAATGGGGGTGGAGGTTTGGGAAGAAGTCAATAACCCTGGAGGCTCTGTGTTGGCCCAAAGTGTGGCTCAAGATCCAGTGGAATGCTGGGCCACAGGACAGGAGAGCTTTTCAGCCCCTGTTGTCCGTAACTCCTTGATGATGGGCAGCAGTCCTGTGGAAGTGGGTGACACAGCAAACACCCTAAATAACTCAAACAACTGGCTAGAGCCGTTCTGCCCCCAGCCTTTATCAGCAGTATTCAATTTAGGTTTCATTGTTATGCTGATCCAAGGAATTCACTTAGATTTTTTTTTTAAGTTTATTTATTAGAGAGAGAGAGAGAGAGAGAGAGAGAAGGCATGAGTGGGGAGGGGCAGAGAGAGAAGGAGAAAGAGAGAATCCCAAGCAGGCTCTTCACTGTCGGCACAGAGCCCGATTTGTGGCTTGAACTCACAAACTGAGAGATCATGACCTGAGCTGGAACCAAGACCAAGAGTCAGTCGCTTAACCAACTGAGCTAGCCACGTGCCCCTCACTTAGATGTTTTTAAACTAGGAGAGTTCGAGGGGCGCCTGGGTGGCGCAGTCGGTTAAGCGTCCGACTTCAGCCAGGTCACGATCTCGCGGTCCGTGAGCTCGAGCCCCGTGTCGGGCTCTGGGCTGATGGCTCGGAGCCTGAAGCCTGTTTCCGATTCTGTGTCTCCCTCTCTCTCTGCCCCTCCCCCGTTCATGCTCTGTCTCTCTCTGTCCCAAAAATAAATAAACGTTGAAAAAAAAAATTAAAAAAAAAAAATAAACAAACTAGGAGAGTTCGAGAGTGAATTTCTTTTCAGCAAATGACTCTAACTATACCTGAAAATTACAGACTTCTGCATATGATACCTGACTTAAAGATGATATTCGGACCGACATTGTTGCCACTCTGAAGAAGTGATTTTAGACAAGCTAATGGTTAGAAAAGCAGAGTTCAAAAGTTCCCAAAAGTGTATGGCACTGTAGTGAGTCAGTAAGTTTTTTTTCCACATCTTACTTAGCCCCAAGGAAATACCTAAGTGTTTCAATTACTAAGTTGTTAGGTCCAAACAACCTAATAGTAATAGTTCTCATCGTGTCCAACACGGTTGATATTTCCCTTGTAAATTGTTTATTTATTTTTATTAAACAATTTTTTTAATGTTTATTTTTGAGAGAGAGAGAGAGAGAGGGAGAGAGAGAGAGAGGGAGACAGAACGTGAGCAGGGGAGGGACAAAGAGAGACAGAGAAACAGAATCCGAATCGGGCTCCAGGCTCTGAGCTGTCAGCACAGAGCCTGAAGCGGGGCTCGAATCCACGAACCGTGAGATCATGACCTGAGCAAGAGTCAGAGGCCTAACTGACTGAACCACATAGGTGTCCCTCTTTATTTATTTTTAAAGTTTATTTATTTATTTTGAGAGAGAGAGTGAGTGGGGGAGGGGCAGAGAGAAGGAGAGAAGGAATCCCAAGCAGCCTTCGAACTCAGTGCAAAGCTCCTACACAGGGCTTGAACTCACAAACTGTGAGATCATGACCTGAGCTAAAATCAAGAGTCAGACACTTAACCAACTGAGCCACCCAGGAACCCTGTTTCCCTCATAAGTTTAAAGGCTCCTGTAGTGCCCCTGTGAGTAGGGTTCCTGGTTAACTTTGAATTTCAGATAAGTGAATTTTTTTATTGTAGTTCTCAAATATTGCATAGACCTGCATTAAAAATTACTCATTATTTGTCTGAAGTTCAAATTTAACCAGATGCCTGTATCTTCATTTGCTAAATCTGACAACCATGTGGTGAATGTATTGAGGTTTGCCAGGATCCCTTGGCACATAGTTTGGAAACCACAGATCTATAGCCCTAGGCCAATTTTTAAGTCTAATTTTACTTCTTTAAAATTAATAAATCATATACATGAATTTTCCAAAAAATAATTTTAAATATAGCTAAATTTCCCAAAATATTTTGTGACTGAGTTTGTGAGTAGACATGTTTAAATTATGAGGAGTGGGGCTTATGTTGACTAATGACAGTCTGGCCTGTGCATGAAGTCACCTGAGGTCATTTGAATCAACAAAACCTGAGTGCCAGACCAAAGCTTCTGGTACTTTACATGGTTCAGCACGGAAAGTTGATTCAAAAGCTGAAGTAATTAAGTCATATTAATTTTTAATCTTTTAATTTGCCTGTGCCTTTTTTGTCTCTCACTTATAACTCAGGATTGTAATTCCCTCAATTTTACAACCAAAATGGTAATTCACTGGAGAACAAATCTGGAGGCCTTCATTATTGTGGTGCTGACCTAACCATTAAATTGCCACTATTTTTCTTTTAGGGAGCTCCGTGGATATGTTGTATACTTTTGCAAATTGCTCAGGACTGGACTTGATCTTTGGTCTAAATGCCTTACTACGAACAGCAGACTTGCAGTGGAACAGTTCTAATGCTCAGTTGCTCCTGGATTATTGCTCTTCCAAGAATTATAACATTTCTTGGGAACTAGGCAATGGTAAGTGCCCCCAGGGACATTTCACTAATAAGGAGATTACCCTTTGGCATTAGTTGTTCCTATGTATGACATTCTTTTTAATATTAGCAAATATTCTTCTGGCTTGGCACACTTGCACCCGTGCTCAACAGTGCAACTTTTCTGCTTATGGCAGAAAACTCCTTCATACATCCCAGAGCCTATTGTTAATCCCAGTTTTGTTTTACTTGAGCTGACAACAACTAGTTGGACCCAGAAACTTCCACAGCTCCCAGGTTCACTTGACATTTTTAGGGTCACTGAATCCTATTACGGATGGCAGGCTGGACTCAGCAAAACTGTAAAGCAGGCACTTTGCTTTTACCCCCCTTCCATTTCTTTCTCTGTTTCTCCACCTGTCAGTTTATCTTAGCAACTCCATCCCAACCGTCATGATATGCTTAAGCTAGAAATTCCTAGTATAGAATCCTACCCAGGTCAAGCTCCTGATTGTTTCCTTCCTTCTTCACTTTTTTTGCAAGGAACTTGTAAATTCTAACTAAAGTACTAATGATCAGCCACATTCATTTAAACATATTTATGGTGCTTTTTCCACACATGAGCCAATGGAACTGAAAATAAATGAGAAATGAGATGTAGTGATGTCATGGACACATACTCCATTCCCGGAACAGCTCTGAGCATTTAATAAGTATTATTTTACCTTTATAACCACCCTGCGGTGGATACAATTATGACTTTCATTTTACACATGACCAAAGCAGGCACAAAAATTGAGATAAATAACTGTGTGATGCTGGGCTACCAAGTGGAGGACTTGGGATTTGAACCCAGGTAGTCTGGCTCCTGAGCAAGGTCCCTGCTTTCTTGGGAGATCCATTCTAGAGGAAGGGAAGCAGATCAACAAGAAGGCAAGCAAAGAAATAAGATATATGTCTATAGTGGTGTGTATTATAGTAATGTCTAGAGGCAGATATAGAAATCAGGTTGCTGAGAGTTACTGGCAAATTGAAGCACAGAACATAGAATATAGGGGTAGAGGTAACCATATCTTAGCTGGATGCTGAACAACTTTGACTAATGGCAGCCACGTGGACAATGGGTCATCTGAACCCATCCTTACACATCTCTATATATCCCTCTCTCCCTACTTTTCTACTGAACCCATTCCCCACCCGTGCTCTTCAGAGTAAGATAAAAGAGCTATGCCATCATGATTTCCTCTTCTTGGGCTCCATTTTGCAAGGAAGAGGTCGTTTTCCAGAGACAAGGAGAAGGGAGAGCCTGGGCAAGTTGTTTTGGGGAAGTAGATTGAACACTTCTGTGTCCCCCTCCCTTGTGTTCAGCATGGCCATTTCTAAGCTCACCTGTACATCTGATTTGTGAATGAACAGTCTTTTTTTTTCAATTTTTTAAAATGTTGATTTATTTTTGAGAGAGAGACAGAGACAGAGAGCAGGGGAAGGGCAGAGAGAGGGAGACACAGAATCTGAAGCAGGCTCCAGGCTCTGAGCTGTCAGCACAGAGCCTGACGTGAGGCTGGAACTCACAGACCTCGAGATCATGACCTGAGCTGAAGTCGGAGGCTTAACCAACTGAGCCACCCAGGTGCCTGTGAATGAACAGTCTTAATAAGGCCTTTAATGGCATTGAGAAATCAATTTTTAAATGTCTTCCCCTCCTACCCAAACTTTTTGTCTTTTTAAAGTAAATTAGTTTATTAAAGACTGGATGTAGACTATTTCCAAAATACCCATTAGTTTAATATCCCCATTAATTAACTTCAAATTGTTTTAGTGCCCTCTCACACTTCAGTTTTGTCATTTAAATTTTTGTTTTACTGAAGTATCTTCTTTATAAAAAGGGAGGTTTTACTATTCTTGCCTTTGGACTCTAAATTTTTGTAATTGGGAAATGTTTTCCTGCTTTTATATGCTGCCATTTTGTTTTTTTTTTTTTTATTTTATTAAAAATTTTTTTTTAACATTTATTTATTTTTGAGACAGAGACAGAGCATGAACAGGGGAGGGTCAGAGAGAGGGAGACACAGAATCTGAAACAGGCTCCAGGCTCTGAGCTGTCAGCACAGAGTCCGACGCGGGGCTCGAACTCACGGACCGCGAGATCATGACCTGAGGTGAAGTCGGCCGCTTAACCGACTGAGCCACCCAGGCGTTTAAATTTTGCTTTTAAATGCAAAAATTCTAGATACGTGATTATTTTGAGAATTGCTGTCTTTCAGAACCTAACAGTTTCCGGAAGAAGGCTGGTATTTTCATCGATGGATTGCAGTTAGGAAAAGATTTTGTCAAGTTGCATAAGCTTCTAGCAAAATCCACTTTCAAAACTGTGAATCTCTATGGTCCTGATATTGGCCAGCCTCGAGGAAAAACTGTCAAGATGCTAACGAGGTAGGAACTAGAGGAAGCAGAACCACTTTTCTTAAAAATAATATTGCTCTCTGGTGGAGAATCCTCATGTTATTAAACCATTTGCTACCTAAGCAAATGTTTTACCAAAAGAGGAAAAGATTGACTGGCTCAGAATACCAAGAATCTGGGGGCAAATGGAACCTACAATATAATTTGTATAAGAATTAGGAAGTTTGTACTTGGCCTGATACTAAAGCAGTAACCAGCCCATTTCTAAGAAATGAAACTCCTGTGCATATATTGTGTACATATATACATTGTGCATATGAGGATTAAGTGAAGATCATAATAGATTTCTTTTTCTAGTTTCCTGAAGGCTGGGGGAGAAGTGATTGATTCAGTTACATGGCACCAGTAAGTATGTTTCCTGCTCTTAGTACTAAGAAACTAATGCTAGTTTTACTTATTACTTAGTTTTCAAAAACATGTTTTCATTTAACTGCTAATGCATAGTTCCAGTAAGAAACAAATAATATCTCAAGCAGCACTGTACTACACACTTAATATTAATAAAACAAAAGTTTTAACTTTATTTTAAATAATGTGGTAGGTTCTATAAGATCAAGGCATACTATCATTTAAATCATGGAGCAGATAAGTAGCTAAGATCAATATGCTTGCCCGTAAGTACCTGCACTGTGACTATGTCTTTTCAAAACAGAGTAACTGATTCCCTTCCATCTTGGTCTTTTCTTACTAGAACAACTCTTCCTCCTCCTCCTCCTCTTCCTCCTCCTCCTCCTCCTCCTCTCCCTCCTCCTTCTTCTTCTTCTTCTTCTTCTTCTTCTTCTTCTTCTTCTTCTTCT